TGGGGAGCTGGTTCAGTTGGCAGGGCAGAGCCTCTAAGAAAGAGGCCTGTGAGTGCACAGCACAGCTCCCACTCAGCGAAGATGCAATGTAAGGTACCATCCAGCAAAAGTGCTTCCTCAAGACACCCAGAACCCGCCACCATCCCACTCCTGTTCCCATGCTGCCCCTGCCTCCTGATGCAGGAACACATTCCTGTCACTTGAAAGTCACGCAGCGTAATGGGCTCTCCTAGCATGGCCTGCAAACACTGAGACAGCTGCTCTAAAATGCCACAGATTCTGACACCCTCATCTCAACACCCACAACTCCTGGAAGTGGCATTATCTCCAGCCTGCTTCATCAGACAGTCCACACTGCAGACCACGTCCACACAGAACCAGTACCTCTCTGCAACTTCAAAATCTGCCTTCACCCTCTCCGATTGCACCACTCCCTCTTGGGTAGCCCACCAGGCCACGATCATCACATCAACCCTTCCCTACTTGCTCTCAGCCCCTGCCCACTTGATGGACCACTCTTCTTAGCCCATGTACAAGAATCAGTCCTTGACTTTTGGCCCTTCTCAAGATCCTCTTCAGTACCCAGCGCCTCTCCACAGCACCCAGTGTCCTGTCACTGCTCTATGTCCACTAATAGGAAGTCTCCATCCCTTTCGTACCCTGTTCCTCACACAACTGTTGCTAACTTCTACACCCCACAAGCTCCCCTCCATCTCAGCAGACGGTCACCTCTGCAGCCTTGTTTTATTTTATTTTTTTTTCTTTGCTTCCCACTATTTATTGAAAATAGTCTACATCCCCGATTCTCTTGGCCAGTAGTTCTCTGAGACAAGACTGTCAGATATAACCGCTCAGAAAACGGCACCATTGGACTCACCTCTCCCGTGAGGGGTTCGGATATCGCGTAGGTCTTCAACTGGATGCCAAAGATTTATTTATTTTCATTGGAAAGTCAGACATATTCTGTCCACTGGTTCACTCACCAAGTGGCGGCAACGACCAGAGCGGAGCCGATATGAAGCCAGGAGCCAGGAATCTCCTCTGCGTCTCCCACATTAGTGCAGGGTCCTAAAGCTTTAGGCAGTCCTCGTCTGCTTTCCAAGGCCACAAGCAGGGAACTGTTTGGGAAGTGGAGCTGCTGTGGGATCCCAGTGTCGGCAAGGTGAGGACTTGAGCCGCTAGGTTATTGCGCAGGGCCCTGCAACTGGACCTTAACTCAGCCCGTGGCTTTTTCCACCTCGGCCGCTTTCACACACACACAGTGCTGGGCCACGACGATGCCGCTGCTGGAGCACCATTCACGCAACACGCATGAGTCCACGACCTCGCGGACATTGGCGCCAGCCTCACGGACCTCGGCGCCAACCTCGCCGTGTCCTGTGTAGCTCCAAACGTCCAGCCCCGCCCGCCACAGCTGAGCTCCAGGAAGAAGGAAGTGCCGGGTCCCTCCGAGGGAGGGGCAGCGCCTGCGCAAGCCCACACTGTGAAGCGCAACCTGGCTCTGGAGCGCTCTTCGGCTTCACAGGCCCCAGGCTCAGCCAGGGCCCCTGGCATCCAGCAACTTATGTGTGCCTGCCTCGCTGTTCCTCTCTCGCACGCCTCATACTCCCCGGGGCTTAATGGTGTCTAGCTCCTGCAGAGCTTCCACTTCTATTCCTGTTCTTCCCCGATGGTGGACAGCGGTAAGCAAGCCCACGGTACGGTACTGCAGTCCTTACCTCGATTCGGTTCTCAGTGAGCCTCTTGGTCTTGATTCCTCACTTGTTGCAAGAATCTGTCCACACGCGACCTTAACGGTGCCGAAAACGTATTCCCGGGTGCAAGTGGTCTTCCTGTCTGCACGGCCCCGCGATGGCCTGGGCTCCTGCGTGTTTTTCATTGAGAAAGGATAAACGAGGCCTGGCTTTGCATTGCCCTGGCTCTTCACTCTCGCCTCAGCCGCCACGTGTTCCCAAAACACCCATTCATCACTTGTGGCTTTAAGTCCCATAGAGAGAGGGAGAGAGAGAGAGATGTCATCTGCTGATTCACACTCCCAAATACCCAGCACAACTGTGGCTGCACTGGGCTGAAGCTGGCTGACAGGAACTCCATCTGGATTTGCTACGTAGAGGGCCGTACCCCAAGTGCTTGTGCCGTCAATGGCTGCCTCCTAGGGTGACCATTAGAAGGAAGCTGGAAGCTAGAACGGGGGTGGGAGTGGGGCAGGGGGCGTGGCCTAGCGGCTTGCATGCAGCAGGATGCCATATGGTCGCCAGTTCTATTCCCAGCAGCCCTGCTTCCCAGCTCCCTGCCTGTGGCCCGGGAAAGCAGTCGTGGACGGCCCAAAGCCTTGGGACCCTGCACCCACGTGGGAGACCTGGAAGAGGCTCTAGGCTCTTGGGTTTGAATCAGTGCAGCTCTAACCATTACAGCCGCTTGGGGAATGAATCAACGGACGGAAGATCTTGCTCTCTGTCTTACGTCTTCTCTGTATATCTGACTTTCCAATTAAAAAAAAAATTCTTAAAAAAAAAGAAAAGAAAAGCAAGTGGAGCTGGGACTCACACCTGGGCGCTCTGGGAAGACAGACATCCTAAGTGGTGTCTTCACCTCTAGGCAAACACCTGCCTCCTCAAAGTTTATCTTTTAGCCTAGTCCCTCCTTTCAAGCTTTGTCACTCACACCTCTTTTCCTTTAGCCTTCAAACATCATTTTAGCAGTGCTAGGCAAGGGGATAATCAATCATGTTTCTCTATCTCCTACATGTAGTCTACCCTTGCTTTCTTTTTCCCTTCAAAGCCAGAGACTTGCTACGTTTGCAGCCCTCATCTTCTCCCCACCCATTCACTGTCTCCATTGTACTCTCCCATTTCTCGGATAGTTATACATGTCTCCCATACAGGGGCCAGAGCACCCTCAGCCAAGCATTTTCATCTTGCCTGCCTCTCCCCGCCCCACATACTCTTCTGGGCCAAACTATCACCAGCCTGGAATTTGTCTTACACAGAATATATAACTAGATACTTCTCAGAGGGGCTGTCCTTGCCAAAGGAGGCATTTGTATACATTTCCTACCCTTTGCTTTTTTCCACCTAAAAAATATCTGAGCGACTGTTTTGTATCGAGGATCCAAAGCTGCCTCATTCCTTCAAACAGCTGCCAAGATCCTACTGTGAAGCTGCACCATGAAGTCGCCACACTGAATATTATTTTTCCATCTTTTGTTCCAATGAACGGGTTGCAGTGAGCATCTTTGCACACGCAGGATTTTTTCCACCCTTGTGACTGCATCCGTAGGATAAACCCACAGAAATGAAATTGCATTTTGCCTTTTGGAATTAAATTGCTCTGCATAGAAGTTATACCAATTCATCCACCCACAGCAGCTTGTGGGAGGGCCTCGCTCCCCAACAGATTGCTAGAACACGTGTTTTTTTTTATTTTGGCCACTGTGATAAGTAAACAAGTATACTTTTAATTTGCATATCTTTTTATAAATGCCATCAGGCATACTTTTCCATAGACATTCATATTCCTTCTGAGAATTGTGTATTCCTCTCTTTTGTCTATATTTTTTCTATTACATTTTTGTTCTTCTAGTTTTCTAAGAAACTCTATATAAGGAAATGAACACTTTGTAATCGGAAGGGGGAGCATTTTGAGGCTCTCTGAGAGCCTGTGTAGCGTACCCCCCCACTGCCCCTAAAGCAAACTGCCTGTGTCTGACTCCATGCAAAACCCCAGGGCCTTTTGGAGTGTTTGGTTGTTGTTTCTCAGCAGTTGACACTGCTGGCCCATCCTTCTAGAACTCCGCTTTTTAAGCCACAAGTGCTGCTTCATGTTGGATCATCTCCCACTTCTTTGTTCTTACACCTGCACTGATATTCCTGCAATGCATGCCCATGGGAATGGAGGCCCGTGCACCTCCTGGAGCAGCACCCCAGGGATTGGCAGGGATGGGGACCCTGCCAGAGGCTTTGTAGGACAAAGCAGACTAGCAGTGTCATTGCTGAAGCCATGGCTGGCTTAAATCCCAACCTCTAGCTCAAATGGTCCACAGCCTGCCCTCCTTGACTTCCCTGTATCTACTGCTCCCCGAGTCCTGCTAGCTCTCTGCCTCTTCCCTTCCCATCCCACCTGTCATCCTACCCTGCCGTCCTCAGCCTCTGCCATAACTGGGTCTTCCATGATCCTTCAACACTATCTCCTCCTACTGCCCTGACCTCCAAACGGCCATGCTCTGGATCCCTCCAGCCCCGCCATGTGCCTGCTCCTCTCCCTCACGGCAGCCTCAGCAGAGGCCTCTGCCCAACGCAGAGGAAGAAAGCCCAGGGCAGCTGAGACAGTGTGCCATCCGGTCCCTACAGGGACTCTTCCCCAAAGAGAATAAACTGTCCACTGACCAATTTAGAAACATGCGCACACCTGTTTTAGTCATTCCTTTGGACACAACAGTGCTGGGTGGGGGTTAGGTCATTGTCGATTCTGTTTAACTTAGTCAACCAAACAGAATGCACTTTTTGTTCTGGCCTCCCTAACTCCTTCTCTCCAACCTTCCCCCCACCCCCTTGTGGCATTCACCTTTGCTGCAGCCCTAGCCTAGAGACACCTGTGACAAAGAGCCGGTCAAGTCCTTGTTCCATACTCTAGTCCCAGGGGCCAGTGCAAAGGTGGCCTACCTGTGGCACAGTATCCCCTCTCCAGCAGCACAGACCCACTTCCTCAGGTCCCTCACTCGCCTGCTGGTGCAGATTCTGTGGAAAATAGCCAGCACAGCTCTGAGACTGGCCAAGGGATCTTGGGAGGAAGACTGGAGGTGCTCAGGGGGCTGCCCCGGAGCGCGAGGGCGGAGTGAGGAGAGGGGCGGTGCTGGCAGGGGTGGGGACGGCTCGCCCGGCCCAGGCGGGACGGTCCTGGTGCGCAGTGAAACGCCCGGCCCGCGGGGACAGAGGGTCAGAGCGCAGTGAGGCCCGCCGAGCCTTCGTGCCCCACACTCCGGCTGCCTGCCCGCCACAGCCATGCCCGAGCTCTCAGACAAAGTTCCCATTGCCCTGCTGGGGCCCGACGAGGTCGAGTTTTGCAGTCCACCGGTGAGTACCACCGCCTGGGATTTTGTACGGCTCAACTCGTGTTGGGTCGGGGGACGGGGGCCCATCGTGGGTGCCCAAATGCGTGCGTGGGTGGCGCAGGGACCACAGACTGCCCAGACAGACGCGGTGCAGAGTGGGCAAGGGAGGAAGCACCGTCCAGGTGACCCAGAGTGCGGATCTGCGGGATGCTGGACCTCAACCTCCGGAGAGCCTGTGGCGAATTGGGGGCACCCGATGAATGCACCCAGATTCCAGACGGGCGCAGAAGTGAACCGACCCTCTCGCACCCCCGCCTGCAGGCCTACGCCACTGTGACAGTGAAGCCCTCCAGCCCAGCGCGGCTGCTCAAGGTTGGGGCCGTGGTCCTCATCTCTGGGGCGATGCTGCTGCTCTTCGGGGCCATCGGGGCCTTCTACTTCTGGAAAGGGAGCGACAACCATGTAAGTACAGAGGGCGGCGGGGGGTGGGGAGGTCTAGGCGAAACCAGAGAGTGGCCCCCCGGGGCACACTTCCCTTGGCTGTCCCTGGAACTCCGTCTTTCAGGCGCGGTCCAGGTGCGCCAGCCTCTTTCCCCGCAGCGGCCCCCTCCGCGAGGTAGGGTTTTCAGGAAAGTCTTGAGCAGGGCAGTGGAAATTACAGGGACAGTTGGAGAAACTGTGCTCCCAGCCTCAAAGCCAGTGTGTGACCGGGATGCGGCCTCAGTTACGGGAAAGAGACACTGAGACAGCTCTCTGACAAGACTGTACAATTCACACCAAGGACAAAGATTGCAGCAGGGGGATATTCACACGCATTATTTTGGATGAACTCGAATCTTTGAGAAAACGTGCGTATGTGTAAGAAAGAGACAGAGACAACCTGTCCATTAAAACTCTCCCTTCTCTTATTAAGCTCGCTTCCTCAGAGGAGGCAAGTGTCTTTAACAATCAGTTCTTGCCTGCTGGCTTGTGATTGAGTGGTCAAGGTCTCACGAAAAGCTGCCCTACATTTTGTGTATGCATTTGTTTATTTTAAAGCCTGGTAGCTCCCCAGGAGCACACGGGCCCCTTCTAACCCGACTGGGCAGAGTTCCAGTGTTCTCCAAATACTCCGCATGCACTCACCTATGTGAAAGAGGGCATTTTATCTTGATGACCACCGCACCGGCTCTGCTATGAGCTTATCTCAACTAATGGAAAAGCATTCCATCTCCGGCGTGCACACAAAGGACTTTCTAATCACGCTCCTCAAAGGATCTGTAGCTGCTGCTCCACAGCCCCCCTTCTCCCACCATGAAATTCAAAAAGCATGAACAGATTCCAGTACTTAGAGAAAATGGTGCTGAAAGCAATTCACCCATTTTACACATCACATCTTCTGTAGTCACTGCGTAATTTGTATTTTTAACTCAAATACCTAATGTAGATAAGCAGGCCATTTAGCACCGAGTCTGTTTTAGAAACTATATCAAATTTGCCAGCATAAATTTGTGAGATTAGGGTTGTACTGTTGTGTGTGTGCTTGGAAAGTGCCTGAATGTATTTGTATTTTCAATATAGAAGCCAGGTCAGATTCTCTTTCTTGAAAGCAGCAAATCTGAACAGGATTTCAACATCTGTATCTCCATTCAGCAGAGTTTACATTGTCTTCACTTTGTGAATTTTTTAAACCATTTTTTAAAATATTTATTTATTTATTTTAGGCCCAGCATGATAGCCTAGTGGCTAAATTCTCACCTTGCATGCGCGGGGATCCCATATGGGTGCTGGTTGACATTTCCAGTTGCTCCACTTCCCATTCATCTCCCTGCTCGTGGCCTGGGAAAGCAGTAAAGAACAAATAAAATGCATTTAATTTTATTGGAAAGGCAGACTTACAGAAAGGAGAGACAGAAAGATCTGTGTGTTGGTTCACGTCGCAAATGGCCATCATGGCCGAAGCTGAGCTGATCCGAAGCCAGGAGCTTCTTCTGGGTCTCCCATGTGGGTGCATGGTCTCAAGGCTCTGGGCCATCCTCTATTGCTTTCCCAGACCACAACCAGGGAGCTGCCAGGATTCGAACCTGCACCCATATGGGATTCCAGTGGTTGAAGGGGGAGGATAAGCCAATTGAGCTATTGTAACCCTCCACCTTCTTTTTTTTTTTTTAAAAAAAAAAAAAATCTCAAAAGAAGTTTGTTGGAGAGAGAGACCCCAGAGGAGACAGACCAGAAGAGAGAACTCTCCTCTGCTGGCTAGGTTCCCAGTGGCTGCAGGGGCTGGGCGGTGCTGGAGCTGAGCCAGGAACCAGGGACTCAATCCAGGTCCCAGATGGGTGCCAGGAACCCAGCTGCGGGAGCTGTCATTGATGCCTGCCAGGAAGCTGGTGTCCCATCCAGAGCAGGCCTCGTACCCAGGTTCTCTGATGTGGGACAGGGGCATGTTAACCAATGTCTTAACCACGCACCTGACCACCTCCCCCTTCCGGTGAGAAATCTGATGATGTAGAATGTAAATGCTATATGTTCATGAACAAACCCTTCATGGTATAGGTTATCTGGAGATAAAAAATAAGCATTGCCTTTTTTTTTGTAGAGATTTGGGACATGATATATATTAAAATATTATTTGGAATATAATGATTCAAGGCAAACGTAGCTTACTGGAAAGCTTCTAAAAAGAGACTGCACAGTTATATGGAATAAGTGGGCTCATTTTTTTCATATCTTTGCCATAAGACAGTGGGTTGTCTGAAAGCAGTATGAACTTTTAAGAATACAGAGGAATAGTGAATCACATCTTATTGCCAACAATCAAAGTTATTGCTGTTTCCTAGATAGGAGAATGAAAAAGAAATGGAAGCGTCTTTTTCTTTTTTCCTCCCAAAATGTTTGATGTGGATCCATATTACTTACTTCTGTAAAACAAATTGCGAACGTACTGGAGCCAGTGTGATGCCAAGTGTAAAGTACGTTCATGGCATTGCTCTCCCTGAACACAACTCCAAATCATTCAAGAAGCATCCCCTCAAAGGGGAAGTGTGTGTCCAACAGAAAGGCCTTCCATGCGGTGGATAGCCCACTGGCTGGGCAGTATCTGTGCCTCAGCCTCACTGTGTTGGGCTGTGCAAGAGAACCTGCAGTGACTCAGCAGCTCTCCCTGGCTTGCAGACCAATCCCCTTCAGACTGGTTTTCTCCTAACCAGAGCCCTCCTAACCAGGGTCCACATATTGAGGCCATTTTTCATGCCTGTTAATTGTAAAGAGAGCCAGGCAGTGAACCATGGAACATTACTGCTCATGTAAGATAGTGGACAGCCCACCCTGTGGGGCAACGAGAGGGGAGCATTGCTGGGGCTTTTCTTCTCAGACCAATTTTTCCAGACATTTTCCCAAACATTATGTAATTAATCTTATAAAACCCAGGTCTTATTAAAAACTCATTAGCAAATATCCTTGGCTGTGAAAAGCACCCTATTGAGCAGAATTTTGGCAAATAACAAACCTCATTGTACTAGGATAGAAATAGCCTTAGGTGCCAACGGCTCCACAGGCTTACAGCAAAGAATGCAGCCACTGTTCCAGCAACCAGCCCGGAGCCCAGCACTTTGGGAACTGAGAACTGCCTTCTCCCCTGCCCGCTTCTCCTGTGGCCTCTCAGGGAGTCCCTGTGCAGTGTACTTCACAAGCAAGGTGGGATGCAGCTGTGTCGCAAGGGATGCAGGACTTTGCTGGGAGCTTTTGTTAGAAGGCAGGTGGCAAGGGTAATGGAGAAGGAAAGTGAAATGAAGAGCACTGGCCACTCTTGAGCACTGCCATTCCATCTCCTTAAGAATCGGCAAGAAGCTGGAGGCCCAGCACGGTAGCCTAGAGGCTAGAGTCCTCGCCTTGCATGCACCAGGATCCCATATGGTCGCTGGTTCGTATCCCGGTGGCCCTGCTTCCCATCCAGCTCCTTGCTTGTGGCCTGGGAAAGCAGTAGAGGACGGCCCAAAGCTTTGGAACCCTGCACACATGTGGGAGACTCAGAAGAGACTCCAAGCCTCAGGTTCAGATCGGTACAGCTCTGGCTGCTCTGGCTGTTGTGGTCACTTGGGGAGTGAATCATTAAATGGAAGATCTTCGTGTGTTTCTCTCTCTCTCTCTCTCTCTCCTCCTCCTCCTCCTCCTCTCTGTAAGTCTGACTTTGTAATTTAAAAAAAAAAAAAAAGGAATCACCAAGAATCTGGAAAGCAGTAAGTTCTTGCATGTTGCATTGTTTTACCGTTACATGCTTATGTGCAACGCTTCCTTTCCTTTTTTTAATAAGGAGCCTCTTGTCCCCCGCTGGAGGATGCTTGTCCCTGCTGGGCTCCTTTAACAGGGCCAGTCTTCATGAACTCCTGTAAACAGTGGCTGCGCAGGCAGACTGTACAGAGCCTGCCTTCTAAACCTTACCTGTAGAAAGCATGGGCTCAGCCAAGGAAAGCAGATCCTAAGGAGCACCTGAGGAGCAATGTGAAGGCAGGCTGATGGGCTTTGCTCCAGCCTGTGCACTCGGAGCTCGCAGAAGGGCATCTCAGGGCGGTAAACGGCAGGCATCCCAGTTGGGCAGAAGGGAAGACAGGGGTGGGAGGCACGGCTGAGCTGAGAGGCGCTGATCTTTTCTGTCCCATTGAATGAAAGCTGCTGCACAAGAAGGTTGCTGGAATGCAAAGCTATGGCTGCACTTCTGTTGATCCGGTCAAATAGTGCTCTGTGGGTCTTGGGATTGTGAGTTTTCTACCGTTTGTGAGTCAGTAGCAACAGACACATCTTGCAGTGTTTGCCCACGTGTCAGTTATTCTCCGTAATGATGGAGGAAGCTCAGACTTGACTCACATCCCAGCTGCTTGCAGTTCCCACTGACTGGCCTCTCCTGCAGCAGCGGGACCATCCGTTCACATTCCTTCCCTCTTAAAGATCTACATGTGCAAGTATATATAAAATATATATAAATACATGTAGAAGATATATGTTATGTGGTATACCTTTTGTACATCACAAAGTTAATGAAAACTGAAAATAAGCTTCTTTTGGTGCTCCAAAATTTTGAAATCTGTGCATGGTATTTTTATAATATGCATTTCAATTAACTTTTTACAAGCCCCTCATAAGCATGAACAAATTTATCTTTTGAATCTGCTTTCCACTTACTTTGAGATACCCTCATACAAGATATATGTGTATATAGGTATATATTGGGTCATCCATAGATACCTACACCTCTGAGTCCCAAGACTTCCACCACACAAAGACCTAGCAGGGCACAGCCTACTGGGCAGGAGCAGGAGTGGAATATTTTTAAGCCAGTGTAGTAAAAGCATGTCTAAATTGGGGCAGATTTGTGGCGCAGTGTGTTAAGCCACTATTGGGATCTCTGCATCCTATATGAAAAAGCCAGTTTGAGGCCCAGTTACACCACTTGCAAACCGGTTTCCTGCTAATGCACTTGGTAAGGCAGCAGTAATGGCCCAAGTACTGATCCCTGCCACCCACTTGAGAGATCTGGATGGAGTCCCAGGCTCCTGCCGGAAGCTGGCCCAGCCTTAGCTACTGCAGCCACGTGGGGAGTAAACTAGAAAATAGAAAATTCCTGTCTCACCCTCTCTCAAGTACGTCAATCTTTTGTTTACAGGCTAAGCTAAGTGAGCCCATTGGCTCATCTAATTTAGTGGACACCTTTGCAGACCAATTCTAAGCGGCAACTTTTCCTAACAAAATCCTACTGATAAATGCAACACGAGGTGGGCCACTCTAGTTTGGGTAGGCTGGAAAGGCAGCTCACAGTCCCACTGTTCCACCACCTCCCCCCTGTGCCACACCTGTGAAGCCTGCACGTTCTGCAGACATAAATGAAAACCATCTGTGAGGTCCGACACCTCCATCTCCATTCAAGGCAACTCCTAGGACCAGGGATAAGTGGCGTGGTCACCTACTTTTCCTACTGCTGGACCAGTGCTCTTCTACAAGGTCAAGTTCCCTCCCCCCTCCCACACAAGGCTCACCGTAATAAAATGTCCTACAGCATATGCCGTCCCACAGGGTCATTAAGTCACTCCCATTTAGAGCTGAAACAGATGTGTACACTCACCTTGCTCTCTACGAATGCTACTCTATAGCAAGTATGAGTTTTGTCTGCAGTTCTTACTATAGACTAATCTTAATCAAAGGATTTTTAAAATGTTTAGAAGCTTTCTCACATTGAGATGCCATTGCCGACTTGTTTAGACCTGCCCACTTAGCTCTCTGCCTCCTCGGTTTCCATCTCTCTGTCAGTGGTTGTCACTCCATCCGGCTGCGTGGTAGAACCGAGTAGAAAGAAACATCAGTGCTCAACCCGATCCCCAAGGTTCTGATTGACTGGCTCGGGATGAAATGCAAGCATGGCACCTGACGAATCTTCCCCGGATTCATCCTTCCTTTCCTTTTCTTTCTTTCTTTCTTTCTTTCTTTCTTTCTTTCTTTCTTTCTTTCTTTCTTTCTTTCTTTCTTTCTTTCTTTCAAGATTTGTTTATTTTGATTGGAAAGGCAAATATACAGAGAGGAGAGACAGAAAGATCTTCCATCTGCTGGTTCACTCCCTAAGTGGCCTCAATGGCCAGAGCTAACCTGATCCGAAGCCAGGAGCCAGGAACTTCCTCGGGGTCTCCCACGCATGTGCAGGGTCCCAAGGCTTTGGTCTGTCCTCGACTGCTTTCCCAGGCCACAAGCAGGAAGCTGCTAGATGGGAAATGGAGCAGCTGAGACATAAACCGGCACCCATATGAGATCCTGGTGCATGTAAAGTGAGGATTTATCCACTAGGCTATTGCTCAGGGCCCACCCCCCTCCCCCAGATACTTCTAATGTACAGCCAGGATTACAAAACATTGAGCTATTTGAATAAGTATCAAGGACTATGAAAGGTTTTACCTTTATGGTATTTTTTTTTAAGATTTATTTATTTATTGGAAAGTCAGATATACAGAGAGGAGGAGAGACAGAGAGGAAGATCTTCCGTCCAATGATTCACTCCCCAAGTGACCGCAACGGCCGGTGCTGCGCCGATCCAAAGCCAGGAGCCAGGAACCTCTTCCAGGTATCCCACGCGGGTACAAGATCCCAAATGTTTGGGCCATCCTTGACTGCTTTCCCAGGCCACAAACAGGGAGCTGGATGGGAAGTGGAGCTGCTGGGATTAGACCCAGCGCCCATATGGGATCCCGGCGCATTCAAGGCGAGGACTTTAGGTGCTAGGCTACACCACCGGGCCCCCTTTATGGTATTTTTAAAGAACTCGCTGAAATGAGTAATTGGTATATAGATGAAGTCCTTGTAAATGTGTTATTGTAACAGGTGCTGCCCTGTATCTCTGAAAAATAAGAGAGGCCGCTCATGCACTGCAGGTCTAGAGATAAGCCTTGAATTGCTGGAAAAAGAAAGCATCACTAACTCTCATGTTCACTTGCAGATTTACAACGTCCATTACACCATGAGTATCAATGGGAAATTACAGGATGGGTCAATGGAAATAGATGCTAGGAACAACTTGGAGACCTTTAAGATGGGAAGTGGAGCTGAAGAAGCCATTGAAGTTAATGATTTCCAGAATGTAAGTATATTTCATGCATTTAGAGAGTGTAACCAGGCAAGCCTGAGGGACTCTTCAAGAAGCAGCCTCTTACACACACATCCTAGAAATAACCACCCTTGAATGCAGGCCGCATGCCCACGTGCCGAAGGGACCACACTGAAAACAGCTCCTCATGATGAATTTTCTCAGTTCAAAAAAAATAATTTTGGTACTCGAAATTTTTTGCTTCTAGGAAATAAAACATATTGGCGTGGAAATAAAAATAAAGCTTGATTTTAAAAAAATGAACATTGAAAAAAGTAGGCTCTCCGGGGATTATATAGTCTTGGCAGAAAGATTTGAAGGACCTATTCCATTCCCATCTGTTTTCTTTAATGTGAATAAAATGCTGAAATCATTCCAGAAGGTTACAAAGCCAACAGCTTGAATTTCTAAAGAGGTGAGAAATTGTAATAACCTAATAATCTCATCAACAACAGGTGGGATCTGTGACATACTGTTCTCAATTTTTCTAATTGCTCATTTAATCCAGAAAATTGACTTTGGAGACTCCCTGTTATGGCATGTTTTCTGTCCGGGGCCTATTACATGTAAAACACTAGAATTTTCTTTGAAAAGGAAACTTTTGCTTTTACAAAAAAAAAAAAAAAAAAAAAAAAGAAAGAAAGAAAGAAAAAGAAAGCATTTACAAGCAATTTGAGATTTTACGCTATGCAGTTATGCTTCTACATCCATCTGCAAATTAAAGTGTCACTCCAGCCGAATTTCCTGTTAGGGACAGGCATCTCATGTTACAACAATGACAAAGAGGCATGATTCTCTGTGTGTGAAACTTCATAATGAAAAGAGGCTCTTGAAAATAATGTCTCTTCAGGGAGTTTATTGGTCCACAAACATTTCATCGACCCACCTTATTCTGATTGAGGAGAAGAACTAACCATGTTTTTCATCTGAATGAAAGCACTCCTCTTTTTGGTACCAAGACACACTTCACAAGTCCTTGTGAATCCCCGGCAGACGCCAACGCGAGATCCCCTGTGATGGAAGCTGGGCTCTGCGCATGGTGATGTCCGCCCTGGGGACAGACTGTGCAGCTCTGCATGTGCCCTGCTGTGCTTGGTATAATCATCACTTTGCAAATGATTCTGGTCAGTGCACAAGTATAATTTCTCTAGACCTATTAAAAGCTTTTACTGCAGAGCCCAGGATAAAGACAGTATTTCTTTGTACTACTCAATATAAAATAATAAAATGTGACTCATACACACACACACATCATTCAGTCCGGAGCAAATCTGTATACCTACAATGTGTCACCATTTCAATCTATGCAAAGGGAACTATAAAGATGAATAAGAAAAAGCTCCATCTCTCTGGACAGGTTCATGTATCAAGAATATATTTTTCAAATAGTTTAATCCCAAACCTGTATTTCTGTTTTATACTCTTTGGACTCTTTCTTATGATGCTATTGATTGTGTTTTGTTCCCATAGACCAACAGAGCTACAAATATTTTATAAACTGATCAATTCTTTCTGATAGCATCCACATAGCTCTAAGTCAGAACTGGTGAGTAAAACATGGTTTTGATGGATGGTACCTGTTACGGGTTTAAACAAGCCTGGACTTTGGAAAAAGCACGAGTCAGCTTCTGTGGTACCTGCTGTGCCTTTCCCCCATACTTAAAAGCATCAGTCAAATTCAACAAGGGTTGGTTGAGGCCTACTGTGTGCAGAGGACAATTCTCAGCCTAGTGGATGCAAAGATGACTGACCCCTCCCAGTCCAGCCCAAGAGGCAGACAACACAGAATGGCTCTGGGTTGGCCTAGGAATAACATGGAGATAAGTTGTGGATGAGGTGCTGTGGAGCTCAGGAGGCAGTACTGCTCATGGTCAGAGCAGGCTTGACCGAGATAGTAATTTGAATCAGATCTTGGGGAATGATTAGGACTTCAAACCGAGAGGGGAGTGGAGCAGGGGGTGTGATTTCAGGCTGGGAAGAATGCACAAACCTGTTCCAGAATTCCAAGTAGCCCATGGCAGCCAACTGTAGGGAAAAGTAGATATGAATGGTGGTGGGGCCAGGTTATAAAAGTCTCTTGCTTGTAAACGAACAGCCTCCCTCTTCACCTAGGGCCCCACTCAGATCTCGCCAAAGCCCAAGGAGAACGAAGAAGGGAAAAGCACTGAAGAAAATGTACTCTGAGATTAAGACTGGGCGAGGTCATGGTGTATAAGCTTGTAGGTCAAACTTGTTGTTGTTACTTTAAAATATGGTAGAGGAATATTTAGGAAGGGAGAAGTTACATGTGCTTACAGTTTTGGAGGCTCACAGTTCAAGATCGACGATTGATGGAGGCTGGCAAGGTGTGGGCAGGCAGGATCACAGGACAGGCCCAGAAGCACACTCTCCCTGTACCCTCTGTGGCACCCTCGGTTGCCAAGGCATGCTCATTTGTAGGTTGATAATTTGGGATGACCTGTGAATGATGCTGTAAATATCCAAATGGCTCTCAACAGGAAAGGCTTCTCTGGCCCTGCATGATGTCTCCTTAAAATGCCATATGATGTGATCAGCACAATCTGGACACCTTGCCCCCGCAAATGTAATCCAGTCATTTCCAAAAGGCCCTGCTTTCAATGCCAAAATTGGACCAAGAATCCTTGAATCCATTAGCAATGGGTTTTGGAGTTTAGAGAGCCAAATCCTATCCAGTCATAACAATGGGTCACATTCTAGGTTACATCCACACAAGCATTGGTGTTGCTGATTTAAGCTAATCTGCTTCGGATTCGGTGCTCCATTTATTTAACAAATATCCTGCTTAGAAATTAAAAACGAATCAATGCTGGTGGGTAGATGGGTATTCACTGTACCATTCTTTTGCCTTTGGGGCTATTTGAAAATCTTGATTTACAAAGCTGGAGGAAAAAAGCTATAACATGACCTATCTAGTTGCTAAGTAGGTTGTTGATTTAAGAAATCAATACAGCCTCCAAATGTAACATAAGGGAAAAAATGAAATGAACATAATTTATAAGAAAATACAGACTTCCTAAGAAAATGGCTTGCTCAGCCTAATGTACCACAACACATAATACAGTCAGGCCTCGTGTCGGTGGTTGAATGATTTTCAATGCTGCAGCCTAAAATGCAGATAGACACAAGTGTGTGATGGTAAATTAACAGCCATGTGGACCAAGGTGCTGTTTTCTTTCCATTTCCACAGTAACTGTTTCTGGCGAACTTGCACATTAAGACTATGCTAACAATCACATTGCGTTTATATGTAAAACAGCTCTGGGTGTAGACAGAAACACTACGCAGGGTTTCACCTTCAGGCCCAGGATGGGTAGTCCTTGGGGGCTGCCCCAGGTTGGGGCATCTGGGACCACTACCTAAAGGAAGCCAGGAGCACCCCAGTCGTGACCACAGTCTTCTCATGGGACAGGACCACTGGCACTCCTTAGAGATTCTTGGTTTACTCTATAGACATAAGATTGTCTAACAAGAAAGTCTGTAGAGCTAAGGTGCATCCCTGACTCACCTGACAAGAACAACGCTAGATCCCTGAAACCTTTACCACCGCCTTCATGAGTGACCTTCCTCATTATCACCAGCTCCCAAGGCCTGGCTTGTTTGCAAAACACACAAGATGTGCTTGGCTTTCTTGAGCTGCACTTAGTTCCCTCTGTTTAATCTTGTGATGTATCTGGCTGCTTGATGTGGATTTGTGCTAGACACGGTGGCTAATATGTGTGAATCCCTTCCCGCAAGTCAGCTCCCTCCGGGGTTTCAGTTCTCGGCAGTGTGCAGGCTGTCAGAGCTAACTCAATACTGGATTCACGTTGGCGCTGTGGATCCTTCAGTAGGATGAGTTTCCTCCCTGGGAGGTGTGATAACGATTTTCTGGTGCTGCCTCCCGCACTTCTCATGTCCCGAGGACATTAGTGCTTGAAGTTAAAAGAACACATCACATGGACAGACACTCATCTCTCCAGTCTCTTTCTGTTTTCCCAGTGATTAGTCATCGATTTGCATGCGGAATAGGAACAGCAGGCCTTTGTGGAGGACGCCAAGGGCAGTGGTCCTCAAAGCATGTTCCCGTGGCCAACAGCAGTAGCAGCAACTACCTCCGAGAACTTGTGGGATGTGCAAACTTGAGACCAACCAAATACAGAGCCCAGAGTTCTCTGTCTTATATAGCAAGTCCTCCGAGGGCTTTTGATGGAGGGCAAGTGCAGCTGTTTAAAATAGCAAGTACCCTTTCTCCCTAAACTGGTGGTCTCCAACCCTGGCTGTGATTAAAGACACCTAGGAAATGGCTAAGACCATTGCTGTCTGGGCTGGGAGCCAGATCGTGCAAATGGCTAGGTGGCCAGATTAGTGTGCTCTCACAGTCTCTGCAGGGGCCGCTGCTACAGCGAGGGTGACAGGTGCAGGAGAGGCTGCAGAGCCAGTGCAGGTGGGGGCTGCAGAATCGGGAGTGAGCGGTGAGGACAAACCCGAAGGCCAGGACCTTCTTCTGAGTCTCCTGCGTGGGTGCAAGGTCCCAAGGCTTTCGGCCTTTCTCTGCTGCTTTCCTAGGCCATCAGCAGGGAGCTGGACTGCAGGCAGAACAACAGGAACTAGAACCAGGGCCCATAGGGATGCCAGTGTTTCAGGTGGGTTAATATGCTACACCAGTAGCCCTCTTATTTTGTTATTGTTGGTCAGTAATGCTGGAAGTTAAGTTTCATGAGAGCAGCGATTTCCTATATCCAGCACCTAGAACAGTGCCTTGCTCACAACAGACATTTAACATGTTGCTGAAAGAAAACAAACAGAAACAACGGGCCTGCTTTTCTCTTTTAGGGCATCACAGGGATCTACTTCGCCGGCGGAGAGAAGTGCTACATCAAAGCACAGGTGAAGGCTCGCATTCCCGAGGTGGGCACCGCGGCCCAGCAGAGCATCTCTTCTGAGCTGGTGGGTACTGTCAAGGGCACAGCTGCAAGGCCTGGGCACTCAGGGTTGGAAGGCCAAAACCTTTTCAGTGTCTAGTTCCCAGATAGGTGGCGATGAGGAGCCAGGTTCTGCCAAAAAAAACTTACACAGTTTTTTGTCATGCAGCTTCCACTGGGTTATTCTTCCCTGGCCTGGCTTGGAGAAGTCACGCTCCCAAAGACAGGAAGCGGCCTGACCCTCACCCGGCTTTGTGTCCCCTGATGTTAGGGAGCTCGCTCAGCAGAGGCTCTTGAGTAAAGGGACCCCAGGAGCCATTTTGTTTCATCCATGCCTCCTGTCAGGGTCAGGTGTCTGAGCTGGGAATGGTGGCCCCTGGGATTTCATCCTGCTGCTTCAAGTTCAGCCCAGAGAAATGAGCTACCTACCATGCCTCTCATTCCTTTTCTGTGTGTAAGGCCTGGGAGGACTTTTTTTCTGCCTTAATCTTCCACTTATTGTTACCTTGGAACTTGGTGTTCAAAATGTAAGAATTGCAGGCAGATTCACTTTACATGTTCTTATAATACCTTAGGGGGTCACAAAGTGGTCCCGTCCATGTTTGCCTTCCACTAGAGTGGTGGCAGGGGATGATGGGAAGAAACCAGGTTACAGAATCTGAAAGTGGGGGCTTACAACCCAGCTCTGACATTTTCTGTGGGTTAGGCTTCTTTCAGCCTCAGTTTTGCCATCTGTAAGCTGGGGGTGTGCACACTGTGCCCATGTCCTAGAAGTTGCTACCTAACAAAGAGACAGTCCCTGCTTGTTATTCTTAATTTTATTGTGATCGTCTCCGAGCCCTCCAGTATCCCTGCGAGGGAACTAGAGCAAGTACCAGCTCCCTTAAGGCCAAAGAGGAAAACTGTGGGTAAGCCAAGGTGCCTGGAAACTGCCCAATTGTTTGCCCCCAGAGGAGAGGCAGCAGGTGTCTGCAAACAAAACAAAGCACAGCTCACAACAGACCTTTGAGCATCTCAAAGCTGCCCACCCCAGCCCCTGGCTCATCATTGCCACTTGCAGTTCCCCCTGCCTTTATCCCCTGAGATGCTTCTGTCATTCTTTGCAACTGACTGTGTGCCCCTTGTGAGTCCTGCTCGCAGTGTCAACTTGCTGAGCATAAACCCGGGACCGCAGCCTCCCGCAGTCTCATCCTCTGGCTTCTCTCGCTGCGATATCCTTCCCTGACAGCCGTGAATTCTCATGCTGGCCCCGTTTCCCACACATGGACCCAGGACTAGCTCTCCTGGCTCCCCAGCCACAGCTGGCTCAGACCTAAACTCAGATGTGCACTGTACCGTCTGCCTGGCTTTTTTCTCCAAAGGAGCTTCCCCCCGCCCCCTTTTGATTTAAACAAAAGCAAGACCTTGCCACTGTACAAGACTGAAGAGACACAGAAATAGAGAAGAAAATCACCCACAATCACATATCCACAGATAACCAATGTTAACATTTTGGAGGATCCCTGTGTGTGTAACATATTTTCCAGAGGTAAAGTTAAACTTCTGTACATTCTTGTCACTTCAGCTTTTCTAAAATGCAGATCACAACGGGTGACATGTATCATCAAAGGATTTTAACCATCTTTCTCTCATGAACACTTCACATACCTCAATTCCCACCATTTCAGGAGATAACAACTGCAATGATTATTTTGAATTCAAAAATGATTCAATGTGGTATTTCTGCATCTAGATTTTAAACATTTATTTGAGGCAGCGGCCAAGCTATAAAAAAAGGAATATGTGGAGAGAAGGGAGTTCCTGCCTGTTCGCTTCTTCCCTAACTGCCTACAGCAGCTACAGAAGGGGTAGGGCCAGCACCAGGAGTGGACAATGCAATCCAGTCACCTGCGTGGGGGGCGGGCCCCCATGGCATGAACCACCAAGGCTGCCTCCCGGGGTCCGCGTTGCCAGGAAACTGGATTCAGGAGCCGGAGTTGGTTCAACCAGGCACCCTCATGCGGGATGCATGTGCCTTAACCACTGTAGGAAACACTTGCTCTGATTTCTGCATTTAAATCTTTGTATCTGATTCTTAGACCATCGAGATGAGTTGTCCATCTTGTGTTTTAGTCACTTAGATCATGCACAGCGGCTCCTCTTCTAGATAAAAACAAATCGAGATAGTTGTGTGTGCGTAAGGAATGTCTATGGCTGTAGAAAGCAGAAAACTGCATGTGCAGTAACTGACACACGGGGGCGCTCTTTCTCTGTAGAAAGCAGTGTATGAACAGGTGGCTGTAGGTGTTCATTTTGTCACTGTCTCTAGTATGCTTATTGTTTAAATCCTTCTTAACAGCCTCAAACATGGTGACATGGCTCAGCTTCACCCTGACTTCCAAAGTCAAGCTGAGGGTGGAGCGATGCCAGCTATGACTTCAGTTTTAGTCAGCAACAAATGAAGTGCCTCCAAGCCCCTACCCAACTCCGGCCTGGGTCTGCCTGCCTAGTGCTAGTCACCATGCACCCCGGGGCCTTTGGGTGTCTCTCCTGGCACCTGGTGTAGTGCAGCTTTCACCGAGAGCAGTTATTGGGAAGGAGGCTGGGGAGGCAACTGCAAGCATGAGGCTGACTTAACATGCATGGCTTGTACGATGCATCTATACGCATTATCCCAATCAGCCCACTCTCCTCCACACACTTTAGACCATGATGGGGGAGATTTATGCACCAATTGCTCTCATAAATTTTTCATCAGCTTCCTATAGCTTAAAAAAAAAGATACTGTACTCAGCACTCATTTCCTGCATGGAGTCATTTAATTTAAGGTAAATAACTGGATTACCTGAATGTTAGCTGCCTCCAATAACTTTTAAGTTGTTTTAATGCAGCCCTCGCCTGAGGGAGCAAGAGTCAATGAAGTGCTGCTTTTAGCTAAAAATAAGGAGAAAACATTTTAATTTCTCCAACCCATTACAAACCAATAAATACATGAAAGCAGCAACCTGGCAAAGTAAATTTGTCCCCTGGGTTATGAAACCATTCTCAGCATCTCACTGCAGGAGAGATCCAGGGTTTAGCTTTTGAGTCCCAGTGGTGTGCTTGATGCAAGGAACATCCAAACTCCGTGTTGTTATAGCTGCGAAATGCAGAAATGGTTTATGTTAAGTAACACTTTGAACTGCAGACATTAAAGCACCAATAGCTTGCTTTTTTTCCCAATGTTTTTTTTTGTTGTTGTTCCAAAGCTGCAGAATAAAACCTCGCAAGATTTTTCACTTCAAAATGAAGGGTTCCTATGTTCTTTACAGGAGTCTAGGGTCTGCTCGATTGCTTTTCCTCAAAAATGTCTTTGATCAAAAACGTCAGATTAATCTAAATCTTCAAGTTGGTATCAAGTAATTTTCACTTCATCCCAGGATACTCATATTCACACGCTGTAGCTGTAGTTACCGAAAGTTAGGGGAACAGGAGATGTGCCCAACACTGTGAAACAGACAGAAGCAGGGCTGGAACTTCGAAGTGTGTGCGCACACCCCATGCATGCCTGCAGTTTTGCATCAGTTATGCATAAGTGTGTGTGTGTACTCTGCTGCCTCTTGGCTCAACCCCTGTCCTTCTCGTTGCCTGCAGGAGGGCAGGATCATGCCAGTTAAACACGAGCAGGACTCCCTCATCTGGGTGGCCATGGGACAGCCTGTGCAGGACAGCAGCTTCTTGAGCTCTAAGGTTTTGGAGCTCTGTGGCGACCTTCCGATTTTCTGGCTGAGACCAACATACCCAAAAGGTAACGCATCCGCCGATCTCGGCGCCCCTCCCCAGGCCCATCAGGGAGCATGGAGGGGGAGGGAGCAGGAGGCAGGCTCTCAGTAATGAGCAGGGGCGAGGGCAGAGAAGGCCGAGGGCGGAGGCAGCGCAGGTGCCCGGTGGAGGGGTGCTGGTGACACAGCCCGGCAGCCGTTATTTATCACACGCCCACCTGTTTCCGCAGTGCCCTTCACATCGGCTGTTTGCACCTTCCAATTTCACTCCCCCCTCCTTTTTCTTATTTTTTATTTTTTTATTCCTAAGGCATAGAATCGAGGGAATAAAAAGCTGTCACAGCACCAGCTCCTTATGATGTTCCAACCTAGAATTATGGGACAGCCAAAAGCTGCTGCTGAGATTCCTCAAGTTCATGGCTTTTGAGCAGTCCTTAGAAATAAATGTGGGTTCTCTGGAGTTGCAGTAGCCACCCTTTGGGCTGCTTGCCCTGAATTCCACTTGGTGCAGGAAAGGAAGTTCTTTTCCTGGCACAGCTGAGAGGAGCCATGCTTTCTGAAGAACGTTACTGAACGCCAGAAGAGAGCAGCATGGAAATTAAAACAAAACCAAAATCGAAACCAAAGCAGACTTGGAGGGGGTGAGCAGGGAAGGGAGGGCGGCAGGCTGAGGAATGGACAATATTGAACAGGTGCCAAGTTTTCATTTTCTGTAAGGTGAAGCAGTTCTAGAGACGGATAGTGGTCATGGGTGCAGAGCACAGCGAATGCACCAAGTACCACTGAACTGTGTGCGGAGTCGGTTAAAGCAGTATATTTCGTTGTACATATTTTTTCTCGAGAATAATAAAAGCGAACCCAGCAGGTTTAGGAAGTTCTGTTTTTCCAGTCTGCAGTGACTAGCCTACTGTTCAGATTTACAAGTCCTATTCTCCTCCCAAGGCTGGAGAAGCTGGTAGGTGTCAGTGTCCACGTGGGATCCCATGACAAAGTATACTATGATGTATACAGTGTATACAAAGTATACAGTGGCTGCCCCCGCAGTGGGGTTGTCTGAACGCTGCTACCTACGCCGTGCTGCTGCCATTCCCAGTCTTGCCCACACGGGGGTGCTATAACCCACAGGACGGCCACTGGCACGTTGGCGCTTTCCACTGCCCCATGTGCCTCCGCCTGGGGTGGGTTTGGGGGCTCTCCGCACTGTGTAATCAAGGTGGACCAGTCTCCCCCTCGCACAGCCACCGTGTGCAGCTCTGAGCACAGGCCCTACCCACATCTGACCCAGCAGCCGGCCCACAGTTGGGAAAGCCCCTTACGCTGCATGTGCTTGTTCAGTGCACCTTGGGTGTGCCAGGGCAGACCAGGTAGGGCTCAACATCCACCCAGCGTTTTACACAGTAGCGAGAACAGACATAAAATACTCTAAGGAAAATCATACAGTGTGATTGAGAAGATACGTATTAGTCACCTCCCCCCACCCCAGGAAAGAGTTTTTCCCCCACATCCAAGGTGTTGCTCAGGTCCCCGCCCCAGTCCCACAGCTGGCCCACATTGGGTAAAGACCCAGTGTTCCCCCAACACTCAGGAAGGACATATACACGAAGATGCAATGCCATACACACTCTAAATGAACTTTTCTCCACTCATCTCTCATAAATCAAAATCAAGCCAGAATTCCCCTCCAGTAGTGCCCATCTTCCCACCAGTTAATTCTAATGAAAGCCCGTCTGCGCCCGCCAGCATCACCACAGGACCCTTCAGCAGCTGCCCTTGGACTCGAAGCCAGTGTCAGATAGCTGTGCTGCTGGGGACACTGTGGAGGGTGGCAGGACACGGGGACATGAGCTGGGGGTGTGTGGGCTGAGCTCCGTGTGCGGACACTGTGTCCAGGACTACATTTCCTGCTCCTTCAATTTTGAGCAAGAGCTGCGTGGGGCCACGACTTCCGTTCCCATTTTATAAAGAAACTAAAGCTCATGATCAAGTGACCCAGCCAGGCTGGTTCAGGCCTCCCTGCTGCCTCATTAAAGACCTCATGACTAATAAGGCCTGATACAATCGCCGTCCTCTAGCTTTCGGGGGTTTGCTGTGTGTCTAACACTGTGCTGGCACCTTCAGCCGCGGACCTTCACCTTCCCTGTTCCTCTGCTGTGATCCGCACCGTTATCTTCATCTTAGATGAAGCAACCAAAGCGGGACACCCAGGTCCACACTGTGAGGTTCACTCTGCACCAGCCCTGCTGCAGCATCTCCCTGAGCCAGTGTGGTTAACCAGAAGCCACAGTTCACGCTTGACTCCTGGCTCTGCCACACTGCTCATGACCCCGACCAGGACACCTGGTCTGAGCCTGGATGCCTTCATGTACACTGGCACCTGCTTCTTTTAAAGAATCATCACTCAAGGTCATATGCTCCTGGAAAGCTGAAAAGCTTTATGCCATTAATAATATCCAGGGCTGCAAGTAACAGATTACCTAATCCACAGAGACTCCAGCAAACACGCTGTGTGCATCTACAGACTCTGGAGCACGAGGCAGGCTGGCTCTTTATCCTGTGCCTACCACTAGATGACCACACGGTGGCGCTCTGCACATGTTTGTGTTCCAGACAGGAAAACAAGATGGAAGAAAGCAACTTAGCTTTAGCAAGGAAGAAAAAGCTTTCCCAGAAACTGCGCTAGCATACTGTGCCTGTGTCTCGCTGCTGGGAAATACCTCTCCCCGTTACTCCTAACTGCAAGAGTCAGGAGAAATGAGTGATGTTTTATTCTCTCAACCCCTACACTGAAGGAAGGCAAAGAAACAAGGATACTGAGAATGGAGATTTGTCAGCGATGTTCTATTGTTAGCCTCAATTAGTACTATACAAGCAAACCCGGTTATCTTATAGTTCATAAGGCTTCATGAGCACAAAAGCCATCGCAAGAAAGAAGTAAGTCTCTGGCCAGGTATGCGCGGTGATGTCCTTGTTTTTCATGTTGATAGTTTTGATTTCTTTAATCGGCCAAGTGAAGACATTAACTTGCAAAAATGTTTGCAGAAATCCGGAGGGAAAGAAGAGAGGTGGTCAGCAAAGCTGTCCCCACCACCACAAGGCGGCCGCGCGGTGGCCTGCGGGGCCACCCGGGCCCGGGAGGAGTGAACAACGGCAGCCACCCCGGCGCTCAGGACGCGGAGCCCTTCAACCCCGACAACCCGTACCACGTGCGTACCCCAGCTTCAGGCAGCCTGGCACAAGCAGTTTCCACTTGAGGCCCGAATTGAGTACTCGGGGTTTCCCACCTGTTCGTGGCAAATTTTGTAAAGAAGCGTGGGAACACTTCAGGGCGGCCTCTGGGGTGTGAGGTCCGCGCTGGAAGGAGCCCTGAATTCACGGCTGTTCTCTGTACTCTGCTCTGTTGAGTTACAGCAAACGCGCGAAAACAAACTCCTATCAAGAACTTGCCTTAACACTATTTCCAACGGTGTGCCCTGGAGGCATGCACGGAAGCAGCGTCCTCTTCCCTCCTGCCTGGCCCTCCCCATGCCCCGTGCAGGCCGTGAGGAGCTGCTTTTGCCACACACACCCCAGGCGGGGAGCTTGGTCCGGGCAGGAGCCAGACTCCTGCCTTGAATAAAAACACTTTAGACTGGGGAGACTTTTCCAAGCTTGACCCTGGGTGCTGCTGCCCTTCTGCCCGATGCTATCTACCATTGTAAGACTCTGCAGGGAGTGCAAGCACAAGTTCCTATTTCTAACTTGCTTTTAATATTTAGAAAATGCACACATACTTTTAAAATCAGTACAGAAGGGCACCGGAGTGGCCCTGCCAGCTTGCTCTTCCTGGAGCTAACAATGCATGTTAGTCTAAGTACGCATGCGCGCGCACACACTTCCATACTCAGCTTTATCCCGTTGTACTTTGGGACGATTGTTCTGCTTCCTGCCAGAATACCTCGAGCATTCAATGGCTGTTCACTGAGCACTACCACAGGAGATGGACAAGTTTACAGAATCTAACTAGTTCTGGGTGGGCATGTAAGTATACATACAGCATACAGCCTTGTACTGCACGCTGCAGAGTAAGTGGAGAAATACAGGCAAAGCTCTCGGCACAGAGCTGGGCACGTGGGCAGCAGCTCCTTGTGCAGTGTTGCCAGTGACTACATCATTCCTCTTCTAAGCAGGTAATTATAAAATATCTTCAGCACAAATACAGGTTGATGTGTCAAAGGTGGGAATTTCACATTTTCATACAGGGTACCACATTGCCTGCCAAAGAATTAAACCAACTGTGCATGCCGACAAATGGCAACAAAAGGATCCATGAATTATCAAACTTTTTAAAAAGTTTTGCCAATCTGTCAGGTGTTAATTATATCCCCAGGTGTTTATCTTGCCTGTCTTTAATTATGTGTAAGGTTATCTTTCCATAGTCATTTGTCTTTTTTTCTGCTTAGTATATGCAGTCCCATAACCATTTCATGTGTTGCAGATGTATTGCAGCAAGATTTAGAGCAAAATGAACCTTAAGGCTTATCAGAAAACTCAGGACATCACAGCCCTTCATTCCCTGATTTCAGAGAATAAAAAAATGAAAGTCTGAATAGGCAAACAGAATTCAATATGGTTTATTCCCGGGGTGGCTGGGCTAGCTGAGCATGGCTCAGGGGATTAGGGCATCAGCCCTTTTATGGAGGGCTGGATGTCACTTTTGTCTGCCCCAGTTCCACACACGCCTTGAAAAACTCCAATTATGTTTTCTACTTTATTCTATGTTGAGCTTTAAGCACAAAATGCTTAGAACATCCCTCCCCCCCGCCCCCCCCGGAGTCAGTCCTTCACATATTCCTTCAGGGAAAAATCTTGGAACAGCCACCCCAGATTTCTCCCCAACCGTTTAGTCCTAACCTTTATAGCCCCGGTTTAGGGGAACAGTTTTTGCTCTCCTCCCTCCAACCCCCTGCAAGGGAGAAATCAATTGCCATCCCAGGCAAACCTATTTTAAGAAATGAGAGGGAAAACTAGCGTGTGAATAATTTTTAAAAATAATGTTAACAGAGTAAGGCATGTTTTGATGACAAAATGTGATCACCAGCTTATCACATACTACTAGGGAAACAGTAGGTATACTGACGGCAGTGTGGCTACACAGACATGTCCTCTTATTTAGGAACCTTCTAATGTATTCATCGGTGAAATGTCACTGTCTTCAAGTCTGTTAGTCACTTCAGAACTTAAAGTAAATGTGACAAAATTAAGAATCGTCAAACCCACCTACGCATATTGGTATAGTTTTCTCTACTTTTCACTATGTTCAAACTTGTTTTAAAAAAAATCACTTCATACAAAAATTGAAGGCTTCTAGATATATCAGAATCCACCTTATGCAGGAAACAGGCTTAGGGAATTTACATTAACCATCTTCTCCACAGGGTCCTTTAATATCGCAGTAGACTGCACTGTTGGGGCTGGCATTCTGGTGCAGGGGCTCGGCAGCCACCTCTGGCACCAGCATTGCACTCAGATCCTGCTGGACTCCTGGCTGCTCCATCCCCTTCCCATCTCACTGTTAATGCCCCCGGGAAAGCAGCAGATGGCCCTGTCCCCACAGGGGAACCTAGCAGCAGCTCCTGGCTCCCACGTTTAGCCTGGCCCAGCCCTGGCCTTTGAAGTCATTTGGGGAGTCAAACAGCAAGTGGGAAAGTTTTCCTTAATTCTGCCTCTGGAAATCCTTGGAAAAGAAAACCTGATAGACTCCGGTCAACTCCTTTCAAGATTATGCTCTCTCCAGCAGCAAAAAATGGAGATTACCTGACTTTACGTAGCTATAATTAAAGCACATATGAAATAGAAGATTAAGTTTAAGGTCCTGAAATTTTACTGTTTTTATGAGGCCCTTTTCTGAGTGTCGCAGATTTGTGATATCCCTATGCTTGTAGTAACAGCCTCACTGAACTGCTGAAATGAAGGCAGGAAAGACTAAGTGAATGGACAGCGTTCCCCAGAACCAGTGCCCCCGGATGACCTTGAAGATGCACACCCTGGGAAGCCAGAAGTACAGGAAGCAGAGATGCCACTTCTCACCCACAATACTTTTGTTTTCCTATTTATAACATGCTCAGTAACTTCTGAATAGTAACAATGGCCAATCAAAGGCAAGGAGAAATTTCATTATGTGTTCAACACCAAAAGCTTTCTGCTAATGTTGAGACTTGATGTCAGAAGGAATTTTGAATGATGAGTTTGTAAGATTGAAAACTTATTAGATTGGAAAGACCATTATGCTTATTTTTTTTCTTTTCTAAGATTTATTTTTTTGACAGGCAGCATTTGAGCGAGAGAGAGAGAGAAATCTTCCATCCACTGGCTCACTCTCCAAATGGCAGCAGAGACGGGGCAGGGCCAGGCCTAAACCAGGAAGCAGGAGCTTCTTCCAGGTCTCCCATGAAGGTGCAGGCACTCACCGACTTGCAGCATCTTCCCTTGCTTTTCCAATGCATTAGCAGGGGAACTGCACTGGAAACACGACAGCCAGGACTTCAGTGGGTGTCCATCTGGAAAGCTGGGTAGCTAGGCACAATGCTAACCCCTTATGCTAATTCCTTTCAGCAATAAAAATGTAGGGAGATCTGAAGTAATGTGCATACTATAATCTCATGATGAAAACAAAAATATTAACACTTCTCTTTTCTTTCACAGCAGCAAGAAGGGGAAAGCATGACATTCGACCCCCGACTGGATCATGAAGGAATCTGCTGTATAGAATGCAGGCGGAGTTACACCCACTGCCAGAAGATCTGTGAGCCCCTGGGGGGCTACTACCCATGGCCCTATAATTACCAAGGCTGCCGCTCAGCCTGCAGAGTTGTCATGCCCTGTAGTTGGTGGGTAGCCCGGATCTTGGGCATGGTGTAAACTCATTTACCAGGTGCTGTAACCGAGACAACCAAAGCAGCATGACACACTCTAATGCTGAAGGGACCAAAGTCCATTCATGAAAAATATTTTTCATGAAAAATATTATCTCAACATGAAAAATATTATTCTAGACATTTTAAAGAGTATTTCTCAGTTGCTTTCCAAAACTTTAGTATATGCAAATATATTTGAAAGATCGGTTTAAGTATAAAATATCATCCTGCTTTTAAAATTTGCTTTTTTTTTTTGCCAATGGGCTGGGTAATCTTTCCAACATGAATGATTTCACAATGCTAAAAATCTCATACACTTCAATTCTTTTCAATCATGTCATGACTAAAATCCAAATGACCCCAAAGTTTTACATAAATTCCCCCCTTTTTTAAAAAAATTTACTCAGCACCCGCGTGGGAGACCCGGAAGAGGCTCCTGGCTTCGGATCGGCATAGCATCGACCCGTTGCGCTCACTTGGGGAGTGAATCATCGGACGGAAGATCTTCCTCTCTGTCTCTCCTCTCTGTATATCCGCCTTTCCAATGAAAAAATAATAAAAATAAATCTTTAAAAAAAAAAAAATTTTACTCAGCAGCAGGAGGAAAATATTTCACGCTGGTATCCCACACAGGTGGCAGGGGCCCAAGTACTTGGGCCAGCTTGAGCTCTTTCCCAGGGGAAGTAACAGGGCTGGAAGCAGAGCAGCCCCATTCAGTCTGGTTGGTGCTGTGACCCGTGGCACTGGCATTGCCAAGTACCTGCTGCACCACAATACTGGCCCCAATTGTACATAACCTTTTTTTTTAAAAGATGATTTATTTTTATTGGGAAGGCAGATTCACACAGAGTTGATCTTATATAAGTCGGCTCACTCCCCAGTGCCCGCAACGGGCAGAGCCAAGTAAATCTGGAGCCAGGAGCTTCCTCTGGGTCTCCCATACGAATGCAGGGTCCCAAGTCTTTGGGCTGTCCTCTACTTACCCAGGCCACAAGCAGGGAACTAGATGGGAAATGGAGCAGTCGGGACACTACTTAGTGCCCATGTAGGTTGCTGACATATACAAGTCAAGGAGTTAGCCGTTAGGCTATGGTGCTGGGACCCATTCATAATTTGTAATGGTCCTTCCTACGTTTGCAAATGTGTTCCTAGAGTCTACTTAAAACCGCATATAATGGAATCTACCATAAAATAAACACTGTGGCAATCGCTGTGCTGCCAGCATATAAGCAGGTAGTCGCCTGGGTTAGGAGTCACCTTAAGGTAATTAGGACAAAGACAAAAGGTAATTGAGGGAAAAAGATGTGTGGACTTTGCCATTTGAAAAGCAAGTGCTGAAAACCCTTACAATCTGTTTTTAAGCAGCAGCATAATGATTTTTTACAAATCAAGCTGTGGGGCCCAGCAGAGTGGCTAAGCAGCTAAAGTCCTCACCTTGAATGCACCAGGTTCCCATATGGGTGCCAGTTCTAATCCTGGCAGCTCAACCTCCTATCCAGGTCCCTGCTGTGGCCTGAGAAGGCAGTTGAGGATGGCCCAAAGTTTTGGGATCCTGCACCCATGTTCGAGATCCGGAAGAGGATCTGGGCTCCTGGCTTCAGATCGGCACAGCACCGGCCATTGCAGTCCTTTGGGGAGTGAATCATTGGACAGAAGATCTTCCTCTCTTTCTTCCTTTCTGTATATCTGGCTTTGCAATAAAAATAAATAAATCTTAAAAAAGTAATACAAAGTAGGGCCCGGCGCAGTGGCGCAAGTGGTTAAACGTCCTCGCCTTGCACGCCCGGGATCCCATATGGGCGCCGGTTCTAATCCCGGCAGCCCCGCTTCCCTTCCAGCTCCCTGCCTGTGGCCTGGGAAAGCAGTCGAGGACGGCCCAAAGCTTTGGGAACCTGCACCCGCGTGGGAGACCCGGAGGAGGCTCCTGGCTTCGGATCGGCATAGTATCGGCCCGTTGCGCTCACTTGGGGAGTGAATCATCGGATGGAAGATCTTCCTCTCTGTCTCTCCTCTCTGTATATCCGCCTTTCCAATGAAAAAATAATAAAAATAAATCTTTAAAAAAAAAAAAAAAAAAGTAATACAAAGTAAAATAAATATGACCAGGAAAAACTAGTCAAGCACGGATTTCTCCTAGTGGGTTATAATGCTGCTAAAAGCTGGGCAGTTTTTATTCAATTAAAGCCATATTCCTGTTGATTGAGGGGACTCTAAAAATCACACAGTAAAAAAAGATCAACATGGAGCATTACATTTTACTCAAGCAGTGCAATTGTTTAACATTCACCCAATATGTATGTATAATCAAATTCCAGTTGCTAATAAAGGTGTAATGTGCCTCAGTATGAATCAGTACTTTGCAATGGCTATCCATAAACATACTAGTATTTGTGGCTCAATTTTAGTAATATCTTCCAAATAACAGGTTAAATAGTACCTAAATATTTTACAATCATGGAAACACTTTTTTTTTCTTGAAATTTGCTTGGAAGACCGAGTAACAAAGACAGGGAGACAGCTTCCATTCACGGACTCACTCCCTAAATTCCAACTGGGTCTCCCACCTGCAGGGCAGTGGCCTGGTTTACTTGGGTCTTTTTCTGCTGCATTTTCAGGTACAATGGCAGGAAGCTGAATCAGAAGAGCAGCAGCCAAGACAGGAATGTGGATACTTAAAAGGGATATTGGCCTTGCAAACACAGGCCATAGTGCTGGCCCCACAGGTTTTCTGACCATGTGCAGTGGGACAGTTGTATGTCTTCAACTTAATTACAATACTGGCAGGACTCTAGAGCAACAAATGAGCACTGGCCCTTGCTCTTTATTTCTAGTTGAGAGGGAAACAAATACTTCTACAGAGCACACCTCCAACTAGCTGTTTACTTTTTCCTAAAATTAATAAGCAATGATTGGGCCCGGCACGGTGGCGCAAGTGGTTAAAGGTCCTCGCCTTTCACGCCCGGGATCCCATATGGGCGCCGGTTCTAATCCCGGCAGCCCTGCTTCCCTTCCAACTCCCTGCCTGTGGCCTGGGAAAGCAGTCGAGGACGGCCCAAAGCTTTGGGACCCTGCACCCGCGTGGGAGACCTGGAAGAGGCTCCTGGCTTCGGATCGGCATAGTATCGGCCCGTTGCGCTCACTTGGGGAGTGAAACATCGGACGGAAGATCTTCCTCTCTGTCTCTCGTCTCTCCTCTCTGTATATCCGCCTTTCCAATGAAAAAATAATAAAAATAAAAATCTTTAAAAAAAAAAAAGAAGCAATGATTAATACTAACCTTATTTCTTTATTCTCCCCTTTACTCTGTGAAATCAGATCAGTGCCCCGGGTCATCCGTTTCAAAACCATCAGTTCATTAACAATACATACTTTTTGGCCTTTATCCCAAACCCTATTGATTAAATAATTTCAGTGGCAAAGCCAACACGGCCTACATTTTGCAAAATAAGCTTACTAAATGAAAATTATTCATCTTTAAATTTTATAACCACTGCCTTATATAAAAAAATGTTGGCCCAATCCAATCAGGTGGTCAGTAGATTAAGTTTTAAGAGAACTTGGGCCCGGCGCGGTGGCGCAAGTGGTTAAAGGTCCTCACCTTGCACGCCCGGGATCCCATATGGGCGCCGGTTCTAATCCCGGCGGCCCCACTTCCCTTCCAGCTCCCTGCTTGTGGCCTGGGAGAGCAGTCGAGGATGGCCCAAAGCTTTGGGACCCTGCACCCGCGTGGGAGACCCGGAAGAGGCTCCTGGCTTCGGATCGGCATAGTATCGGCCCGTTGCGCTCACTTGGGGAGTGAATCATCGGATGGAGGATCTTCCTCTCTGTCTCTCCTCTCTGTATATCTGCCTTTCCAATAAAAAAATAATAAAAATAAATCTTTAAAAAAAAAAAAAGAGAACTTGAGACTAATTCTACCAACAACTAAATGTTTTTATGAAGAAAAGAAAAAACTACAGAAAAAATGCATTTGTGAAACAAAGTACTTGGAAATAAGTATTTAAAAGACATTCCAGCTCTAAAATCTGACTTTTTCTTTGGTTTGTGTCCTTATATCTACAGGGGATGGAATGCAAATATAAGTTTAAATAACAGGTTCTAAAGCTTCTCTACTCTTTGCAGATGGCCTATAAAAACATGCTTTGCTGATCTGATTTTAATAGTTCTATTAAATACTAAATTCAACACCACACTTAGTAAATCCCTACGTACAAGAAATCTATATTTAATCCAACCTCCCAGTACTAATTCTGCTGTAACTGTACTTACATTTCAGAATAAGACATGGCTTTGCTAAATAAAGATTACAGTAATGTGTTATTGCCTGTAACGTAATGTGTAAGGAAAACAAATTAGAAATAGGGCATCAGAGTGCAGTGCGGTAGCCTGATAAAGGTCCTCACCTTGCACACGCCTGGGATCCCATACGGATGCTGGTTCTAATCCCAGCAGCCCCACTTACTATCCAGCTCCATGCTTGTGGCTTGGGAAAGCAGTTGAGGACTGCCCAAAGCCTTGGGACCCTGCATCGATATGTGAAACATGGAAGAGGCTCTTGGCTTCAGACTGGCTCAGCACCAGCCACTGCAGTTACTAAGGGAATCCATCAGCAGATGGAAGATTTTCCTCTCTCTCTCTCTTCCTCTCTGTACATCTGTCTTTCCAACAACAAAAAACCAGAGCATTCAGTCTGAGGGTTTCTCAAATACCACAAATACACCTCAGAACCATCAATATATTCAGAGTTAAACTGCAATTCCTACTAGATGTATGAACTACATTTTCACTTTCTTATAATACTGGGTGCTAATATTTCCACTGACTGGAAGAAGCTAATTTGCATTGATAATTATCACATTAAAAATACAATATAGATTCAAATCTAAAGTGACAAACTTATTTCACAGAGAACCCACCCCCACATCAGGCCCAATGCCAACCAACTGAGGTGAAAAACAACAAGGACAAAAATTATGCTAGAGTTGGCAATGACTCCCAAACTGC